CCTCCTCCATCGCAGCGTTTTTTTTTATAACTTACGTAGCACGCTGATGACGTTTTTTCGGCTTCATGCCGCAAGAGCATCTTCAGCAAGCGAGACTTAATGTGGAGTATTCGTGACTTCGTTCCGAATGCACTTTTTAAACTTAAGGAAAAGTAGGTTCGTGTCGCATGTTAATAATCACCAAGAGCCGCTTCATTCTGCATACTCGTGTAATGCAAGCATGTCTTCAAGCACAATGTGCACCTTAATAAAGACCCCAACGACCCCCCATAGTTCGACTTCTGATATTCAGATCTAGTTCTAGGTCAAACTGGTTTGTTCGACTCTCAAGAAATTATAGTTCTAGTGAGTTAGAGAACCGAGGTACCACTGTACTGTGACTTTGGCACATTCAGAGTGGTGTGTGCATTTCAGAGGCGTTGGAACATGCCCTTCCCAATATCGGCAGAATCCTCCTACCAACTTTCTTCCCATTAAATAAATACATTATCAGCAGCACTTCCTTTTCTTCTTTCATCATGGATCCACTTGTTACTGAAGCCAATTCACTATGCATTCAAAGCATGAGGACCAAACATATACTTAACGATGATGGTAGTCCTCTATTAGACTAAATTTTATATGCATCAGCTATTTTTTAGTTAAGCTGTGTTTAGTTGTGAAACTGTACACTTAATGATGCTAATCTAAATTTTATGAATTCATTTTTTAAAATTTAAATCTTATCGCATTCTTTTGCAATGTGTTTCATTGTGATGTCACGGTATATATTGCACACCACCACCACCCCCAACTGTTGCTCAGCAGCAAATTACTAATTTCAGAGGTGTGTGGTAGGTAACGTTTTAAGACTACATAATTTTAGTGTGATTAACCTGAAAATTTGTTTGCTTTCAGTTGTCTTTCTAATAAGCAAAGAGAACAGCCTGTATAAATTTATGAAATGATCAGCTTATTCTGCCTTGTTTGCTTTTTGTGAGAGAAGATGAAGGGTGCAGAGGTTCAGGATGTGACTGGTGAGGAGCTGACTGGTTCTCTTCCATTAAACACTGATGGGAGAAGAAGAAGCAAACGGATTGTGAAACCTCCAAACCAAGGTGATTTTAACTACCAGCATATACCATCAAAACTGCAATTGTTTTGGTACATTTGGAGGTTAGTCTGTGCTTCAAGTTGCCTTTGAACCAGCAGTGTTGTAGCTCTGTGCACTTCAGGCATGTCAGAGATTAGTGTGAACATGAGCTGCTTATGTGTAACGAATGCACTTTAGAAGAGATCTGTATTTATCTGTTTTTTTTTTTTTTTTCCACCTGACTTTCTTTTTCTATTAACCCTGTTGTATCTCAGTACTGACTGACTTGTCTCTATCTTGCCCACAGCATGGAGAGCAGATGAATCCTCCCAAATCTTCGCTTCTTCTCAGGGTCCATTCTCCTACACTGCAGACATTGACCTGCACAGACATAAACGATCTCACCCCAAGGACTATGTCAGACAGCTGAGGACTGGATCTGTCAACACAACCCAGCATTTGCCAACTGCTCCTGACCCCAGTGCTGCTCAGCCCAGTACAGACACACTCAGTACCCTGGATGGAATGAGTACAGACACACTGACAGCTTTACAGGGTTCCCAGGGTGAGAAGACTTTCAGTTTAAACAGAGGCTGTAAAAAGCACAGACAGACTAACACTGGGGAGAAGCCCTACCAGTGCTCCCAGTGTGGGAAAAGCTTCAATCAGTTAGGAAACCTAAAGGCACACCAGCGGATTCACACAGGGGAGAGGCCCTACCATTGCTCCCAGTGTGGAAAGAGCTTCAGTCAATTAGGAACCCTAAAGGGACACCAGCGGATTCACAAAGGGGAGAGGCCCTACCAGTGCTCCCAGTGTGGAAAGAGCTTCAATGAATTAAGAACCCTAAACCGACACCAGCGGATTCACACAGGGGAGAGGCCCTACCAGTGCTCCCAGTGTGGAAAGAGCTTCAGTCAGTTAGGAAACCTAAAGGCACACCAGCGGANAAAGAGCTTCAGTCAGTTAGGAAACCTAAAGGCACACCAGCGGATTCACACAGGGGAGAGGCCCTACCAGTGCTCCCAGTGTGGAAAGAGCTTCAATCAATTAGGAACCCTAAAGGGACACCAGCGGATTCACACAGGGGAGAAGCCCTACCAGTGCTCCCAGTGTGGGAAAACCTTCAGTCGATTAGCAACCCTGAAGATACACCAGCAAATTCACACAGGGGAGAGGCCGTACCAGTGCTCCCAGTGTGGAAAGAGCTTCAGTCAATTAGGAAACCTAAAGGCACACCAGTGGATTCACACAGGGGAGAGGCCCTACCATTGCTCCCAGTGTGGGAATACCTTCAGTGTATTATCAACCCTGCAGGCACACCAGCAAATTCACACAGGGGAGAGGCCCTACCAGTGCTCTCAGTGTGGAAAGAGCTTCAATCAATTAAGAAACCTAAAGGTACACCAGCGGATTCACACAGGGGAGTGACCCTACCATTGCTCCCAGTGTGGAAAGAGCTTCAGTCAATTAGGAAACCTAAAGGTACACCAGTGGATTCACACAGAGGAGAGGCCCTACCAGTGCTCCTAGTGTGGGAAGAGCTTCAGTCTATTAGGACATGTAAAGAGACACCAGCAGACTCGCATAATTGACAGTTCTTTATTGCAGTCAGTCCAATAAGTGTATCTTTTCATATTTTTTTATACTGTTTCTGTGAAATGCCTTTATGTTGGGTTCCCCTTCTCAGGCCTGTTGATGTTTAGGGTTTGTTATGCAAAGATTCAAATGCAGTGTTTACAATTTATCTTGAGTCACTCACTCTCTCTCTCTCACTCGCAGCAACATGCAGCACACGCGCGCAGCCCCTGCTTTTAGTGATGACGGTGGAGTGGACTAATCGGTCACAGGGGTAGAATTACTTTGTTCGGGGGGCACAGCAATGTTTGCCTTTTATCCCCTCAAATATAGGAGGGCACTAAGGCATTTTCCTGTAGGTTCGGAGGGCACCAAGACAATCAAGAATTACTGGCCAGGGTACTGAGGCAAAGGTGTATATAGCCGGACGCATGAAATATTTAGCATTCTGACATTTTCAAGGATAATAAATGCATTAGCACCCTGTGAAATAGTGTTAGACTAGCTATTGAAAAGAAGATGCTGTTGCCTTCATTCACCTATTCAGTAATGACGAAATGTTTTATGAAAAAAAAAAACAGAACCAGCTATTGTCAGTGATAAAAACTTTAATTTAATGAACATTTTTTTTACTGAGACATTGAACACTAACATGACTAACAGAACTTCAAAATAATGCACGAGTGACCATATTCAAGCCAACTAACTAACACTCGCCAACTGTCCCGAGCCACTCAAACTAGGGGTGCAACGATTATTCGACATTGTCGACAAAAATCGACCATAAAAATAGTCGCCGACGAATTTGATTGTCGATAATTGTCGCCAGACGTATTTTTAAACGGAGTGAGACGTTTTCCTTTATACTTGTACAATACTACCGCTTTCCAATAGACTGCACCAATACACCACACAGGTGAGATTCGCTCTTGCGCAATAGCATTCAGCAACAGGTAGAAGAATGGTGGCCACAAATCAGGCATCGTCGCATATTAAATGCTCTAAAGTCTCAAAGGCTTTTAATGTCCGAAAACAAAGACGAGATCTACAAAA